AGTATTTACCCAGGAAGTTTACTTTACGGTCTAGAAGTGGCTTAACCCACTCTGCATTCAAATAAATTCAGTGCGTAGTTCAGAATAGTGTAATTATCAATACAGTGAGGGATTCAAAGGGTCATTCTGCACTTAAGGCATTTTCCACCCCGTTGCCCAATCTAAGCACAATTGCTTAGACTTCAGCATATAGTTTCTTTAGGCAATGGCCTGGGAATAGGATGTTTGCTCCTTTTTTCCCCAACTGTGTAATTTTTCCTGATTTTTAATGTAATGACAGTATATCCTTTTCTGTGATTAATGATGATTTTTTGAATTAATGATTCAAAGACTACCTTCTTTTTGTATCCTTTCCCCTTTCCCGCCCAATTCTGAATTAAACTAAGAATGACCTTGAAATTAGAGAAAGAACAGAAGCAAATTAAGTTCAGAGCTTAAAGAAAGCAAGTGGAATATTGTATCCTAGGAAGAAAAGTAAGGCCCAGGGGAAAGTTTGCACACATATCACGGGGAGAACTCATCAGCACAGTAAACAAAGAGCTAGAGGTCCCAGTGGGTAGCAGACTGATCAGACATTGACCACACCAGGCCTCTTCCAAACTGGGGTATAAATGAAGTGGCATTGTGACCGCTGTGTAGGATTTCACTGATGTCAGGCCTTCCTTTTGCTTATAGGCCAAGACTTCATGAAGAAGATAAAATTTAAAGAGGATTGAAATATAGACAATAACTCAAGCCTTTCTAGGATCCAAATGCTTTAATGTCACACTTTTCTTCTAGACTCTGGGGCAAGATGCAGGTCCAGGAAAGGTCAATGAAGACCTGTTTCTCCTCTGTAAAGTGGGAGAACAGAGAACGGGAGGCAAAGCTATTCAGAGGCTCAATGTCAGTGAGGCCTTCCAGACTCTCCCTGTGAGACCCAAGGGCATGAGTCCTGCAGTTTCCAGACTTGTGACTCCTGCTCCATGCCCCTTCAACAAGCACTGGCTTCAGCACATCAGCTTACTGGGAGGCTGATGCAGTGGTACCCAGTTAACCTCCATCTTTGCTAAAGGCATACCAGAGAAAAAACAAAGCATACCTAGCTAGGCATTCCTTTTACTGGCTCATGGATGTTCTGGACCCTTCTTCAGTAAGATTAGTTGACATTAGGGTCTGATCGGCTCTTCTCCTTAGCTCACCCCACTGTGCCCCAGCCCAGGTAGACACCTGCCCCTGTGGAGTGAGCGCTTGCTAGGTGAGCACACAAGGAAGGGGACTCAAGGAATGAGTCTAGTCTAGCTGATCCCTCATTCTTTTCTTGACCTAAACTTCCATGGGTCTGTAGCCTTTCTATTATTTACACTGTGAATAGTTCACCAAGAAATAATAACTGTTAATACTTAACAGTTAACTAGTACCTTTGAATCCAGTACCACTGTCCTGGAGTTTGGGCAGGAGGCTGGCTGTCCTCTTGGTCAATATTATTAGCAGCTTCAGCCATCTCAGCCTGAGATGTTGTACCTACTAGAAGACAGACCTTACTGACTGGGGAAAGAAATGCTTTCTTGCCAAACTCTATTGTGGTAAGCAAAATTGTCTCTAAAGGATGCCAGTAACAAATAATCTTTTTTTTGAATTTTATTTAAAAGGAAAAAGAGAAAAAACAAAACAAAACAAAGTGCTATAAGGGTACAAGTAATACAGAACTACAAAAAAAAAACACAGTAAGAAATCACGTTAATAGATTACACATTATCATCTTAGAGATAGTTGCTAAAGTCACAGTATCAAAGCATACAAAGTGGACATTAAAACAGCAAGACCGCAAACAGTTGTGTTCAATGATCCAACCAAAAACATTAATATGGTCATCTATTTAACACCCCTAAACACACTTGCAGTTGTGTCCTTTAGAGCACTTTTTTACAACACAATTTACACATTTTGGGTTTTATTACTCCTTAGTTCTTATTACTTTGGAGGGGGGAAATAAAGTCAAATATGGCAAAACAAAGCTGTCAGTCAAAACCAAGGACAGACATAGCACATGATGTAAAAACATGTCTCTTGCTTCCTTAAAAAGAATTGTCTATCTCATTAGGTATTATAAAGTTGAACAAAACAGTAGAGAACAAGACCAATAAAACCTAAACCTTGTAAACATTACAGGACTTCCAAAGAAGATAATAGTCAAACCAGAATGGGCATCATAGTGAATCTTACTGCCTTCAAAGTAGTTGCCTATACCCTCAAACTTGATACTATCATATAGAACGGAACAGAGTCCAATCAGGCAAAACAAGATAGTGGGAGTATTACAGGACTTCAAATCAAGTTAATAGGAAATCAAGAAAGTTACTATAATATATCCTGCTAGTTTTTTTTATTTTTCCCCTTAATTAAAAAAAATCATAAAAAATAACTAATTTTTTTAATGAATAAGGGAGAGATTGAGATAAAGGAGGGCATAACAACATAACAATACAGGTCAAAGCATGACAGTTTCAGCAACCTAGTGCTTCACCACCAAATAACCCAACTTAATAGTAGTTACCATAGTGTCTTTTTCCTTTAAATATTTGAATATAACTTCGTATACTATAGCTTCAAATATATCACGTCAGTGTAAAACCATTCAAGTGGATGAAAGCATTGTAGGGTATTTAGAACCAGCTAACAGAACAATGGTTTCTATATTATCTCTTTGCCTATAACAATTTTTGTTTATACTATCACATATAATAAAATCCAGCAAGATTCATCATGATAAAACCAACGGAGACAGAAGAGCCATAGTTTAGGGGGCTTCAAAACAAGATGATAGTAAATCAGCACTAGCTATTATGATGACTTAACAAATAATCTTTAACAATTTTTAATTCTTTTTCCTTCCTTTGATAATGATAGAAATGTGCTGTTAAAAAAACTGACCCATATTAAAAGAGTTGGAAATATCTCAAAAATTCAGTTGCTATTGTTATATAGAGTTTTGAATATAGATCATTTATAGATCATTTTTATTTTGGAGGGAAGGAAATGATATAAAATACTGATAGAAAAGTTAGGATTAAGAGAAGAAAATGGGAGCTGTGATTAAAGACTCAGTCTTTTTTTTTAAATGAAAATTAATTTCCCAATTCCCAGTCATATCTTATCCTGTTGGATACAGAGCAGTTCAGATGACATAGCAGAGGTGTGCAAGCAGGTCCTCACCGCTGACTTGCCAACCCACATGTCTCTCTGGCCTCCCTCCCCTCACCCCTTTGCTGCTGCCAAATTTCTTCCCCCAATTCAGATGGCAACTGAAGTCTTGGCCCACCTTTGCACAGAAGGCTTAGAACTTTCTCCTATGTCAGCCTAGCCTTTTGAGATCCCCTGCTTTCCTGAGAATGGGCAGTTCCCCCAACTTGTGGTGTCCAACTTATGTACGGTAATTTGGGAAGGACATGATATGACTGATGACAGCCAAGTAGGGGGCTACACTCCCTTTCCTTGCCTAGCTGACCCCAGGCCATAGGATTCCCTTGCTCCCCTCCTTCCTCCCGTCTCCCCTTCCTCTCTGAGTTAGAAAGCAGCTTAGTCATCCCTAATTTCCTCTGTCCATGTCCCAAGGGTCTTATTGTACCATTTTCTAAAGAGTCATAGAGCCAGGTGTGGTGGACCACACCTGTAATCCTAGCACTTGAGAGACTGAGGTGGGATGATCATTGCAAGTTCAGCCTAGGCTACATATTGAGTTCAAGGCTACATATTGAACTACATGGCAAGACCCTGTCTCTAAAACTTCATGGAAAAAATAGAGTCACAGTGTTTTCACTAAAGGGGATTTGGGGCAGACACGAAAGATTTTAAGTTTTGCACCTTTCTTCTGTTAGAGTTACAATTTCTATGCTTAAAAACATTCCACAGATTTCTTTTCTCTGCAGCCCAAAGCCAGACACTTTATCCCACAATGTGCAAAGCCTTGAACAGCCTGACCTGAGATAATTGCCCAATCTCCTAAAAGCCTGAACTCTTAGGTGGTCACTGACCACTGCAGAGGACACCCGGGGCCACAGATCTCCTTGCCTCTCCACCTGTCTAGGAGGTTCCCACCTCCCAGCCCTTTGTGCATGACTCAAGCCATTCAGGATTGAATATTCTTTCTTTGATCATTTTCTGAATGCCCTGTCCCACAGCCTAAGTGTGTGGCCTCTCTGTCTGGGATTACCCTTGACATTTTGGGGCATCTAGTGTGCTAGCCACCAAGTAGACAAGCCTTGCTGAATGTATGCTTCACCCCAGGTGCCCACCTGGACCGAGCATGGACTGGGACAAGCTGAAGCTAACCTCCCAGAGCTCACTGCTCAGGTCTGCATTAACAGAGCCTGCTCCAGTCCTTCACCACCAGGCCCTGCCACTGTGGATATGTGTGTGGGCCCAGCCCACAGGGACTTGTGTGACTGCACCAGACCTGACGTTTCACCTCCGTTCATTCCTGACACATAGTAGACACTGAATAAATATTTGCAACATTAAACTCCTAAAACTGTGTTTATTGACAACAGGTTTTAAAAATTCAATCTGCAAAGCTTTCATTCTTTGTATTGAGTAAACAAATACACTATATGTAATATTCAGACATTAAGAAAAGATTTTCCTTTGGATTAGGGGATCCTACTGCCAGCTGTTTGCTGAACTGTTCCTACCACCTGCTGCTGCATGCACTATTACAGCTGACCACATTCCTCCCCTAGGAACCAGAAAGGCAAACAATCTTGTTAGAGTTCTGTTTGGACAGTTAGCCCAGGAGCCTGGAAAAATGCATCTCAAACATACAGCTATTTGCACTCTCAACCTGTAACATACCTTTAACTGCACACATGCACATGCAGCCCCCATGACACTTCTTGTCTACAGAGCTTGTGATGCTTTTGCATAGTGAGTCACAGCGTTTCTGGTGAGATATCTGCAGCGCTGTCTTTCTTTTAAGCCTCAAAGTCTTTTTCTAGGCTCTAACTGGTCACTGTTTCCCATAGGCATTGTGTCCAAGTCCTACGAGTGCCGTCTGAAGGGACAAGGAGCCACCTTCGTGGAAACAGACAGCCCATTCACTGCAGCCACACTGGCAGAGGAATCTCCAGTCAAAGAGAAGTCCCTTCGGAACAGTAAAAGGCAGGCTGAGCCCCCTGAGCAGGTCCAGCAGGTCATCATCATCCAGGGGTATGACGGGGAGTTTGCCCTCGATGCCTCTGTGGAAGAAACAGCCGCAGCCACACTGCAGACACTGGCAATGGCTGGCCAGGTGGCCAGAGTGGTACACATCACAGAAGATGGGCAGGTCATCACTACAAGTCAAAATGGGGCTCATGTGGGCAGCGTAATGCCCGGACCTGTTCTCCCTGAGCAGCTGGCAGAGGGAACCACCCAGGTGGTCGTCGTTGGAGGTTCCATGGAAGGTCATAATGTGGATGAGTCCTTTGATCCTCGTGGCTCTGTGATACAGCAGGTGACCAAACAGGAGGTTTTAAGTCTCTCTGAGGGTGGAGTTCCTCCATCAGATGCCTCTTCAGCCTTAGATGCATTGCTTTGTGCTGTCACTGAGTTGGGGGAAGCAGAAGGTAGGGTTGGGCATGAGGAAAAGGGCAGGCCTGACCACAAGGACATGCTGATCCAGCTGCCCACTCAGGAGGCGTTGCACACAACTCCTGACCCCGAAGCCCCAGAAATCCAGATGTTTCAAGATGCTCAGGAGAGTCCAGCAGCTGTGGAGGTGCTGACCCAAGTGGTCAGGCCCTCAACTATCATCACATCTCAAGAGCGGGCTCAGGTAGCCTTCAAGAAGATGGTCCAAGGAGTCCTCCAGTTTGCTGTGTGTGACACTGCCACAACTGGTCAGTTGCTTAAGGATGGCGTCACCCAAGTCATCTTGAATGAAGAGGGCACTGTCCACATGGTGGCTGGGGAGGCCTCCCAGTTCATTATGCAGGAGGCTGAGGCCCACAGCCTGCGGGTGCCAGCTGAGCACATGGACCTGGTAGAGTCTGAGGGGGAGATCTCACAGATCATTGTGACAGAGGAGCTGGTCCAGGCCATGGTTCGGGAGTCCAGTAGCAGCTTCCCAGAGGGTACAACTCACTACATTGTGACAGAATTGCCCCCAGGGGTGCAGGATGAGGCTGGTGTGTACTCTCACACTGTGATAGAGACCACCGACTCTGAGGAGATCCTGCGAGCTGGGACTGCACTCAGCTCTGAGGCTGTGGCCACAAATGGCACAGAACAGTTAACAAGCATGGTCATTTATACCCAGGAAGGCACCCCAGCAGCAACAGTGATTCAGAGCCAAAGAGAAAGTAATGAGCTTCTAGAAGCATGAGGCATATCCTCAGTGCTGGGCATAGGGCAGGTGTGCAAAGATGCCTGCTGAGCTGGCAAGTGTTCCATGAGCTTTGTAAGCCTTCCACATGGAAAGGACATATGCTCTTCTGGTTAAGATAACATCAGCCACCAAAAAGACATGGAAAGCCTAGAGCCGGGCTGGCCAAGGAAGAGTCAGGGTCCTCTGAGAAGGCCAAGGCAGGCAGGCCCTGTGCAGTGGAGCCTGTCACTGTTTGGTCCCTTTGCTCATGGCCTTCCCGCTGTTCCACCATTGCACTGAGGAGAAGCAATTCTCCATGGCTTTTTCCTATAAATATTGGCCCATGTCAGTCATCAAAAGATGGTGCCCTGTGGTGGGAATGTTTGCTGTGTCCTCAGCCTCTCAGCTCCAGCTGCCCGGCCTGCAACTCTCCTGACATTTCCTTGTGTTTGGTCACAGATCGCAGCCATTGTGACTGCATCCTGAAGCAGGCTGCCCCATTCTTTTCTTTTCTTTCTTTCTTTTTTTTAAATTTTAGGATAATGACATCACCAGACCAAAGGAAGCCTATTAGTTTGTTTCATGTATAAATTTCCTCTTTTCAAACATTTTAGGTATCCCCATTGCACTAGTCACATACTATGTTAAAGAAATCTTAACTACACCTTGAGCAAGCCTTGAAGTTTGTATTCAGTTAAACTGTAACTTGATGAAAACAGCTGATGCTTTTAATTTTGACTTAGTTTCATAGCCAAAGTCTACACATGAAATGTACACTCTGGAAAATATTGGTTATATCAATATTTTGCTTTTTATAATGTTCATATTGATATCATTTTTGTAGATTTATTTGTAATTACGTCAGTTTGCAAAGGCTGACATTGATCATTAACAAACAGAAACTGAGACCCTGCAACCTCACCTTGCCCAGCATTGCCTGAGTTGTACATTAACTCCACGGTTGGATGCAAGTTTATGTTTCAGTAATTTGTTTCTTGATGCTATTGATCTTATTTCTTTTCCAAAATTGTAAAATAATCTCCTCTCTCAAAGGCAAAAGTTGCTTCTGTTCTGTTTTGTTTTCTTCAAAATAAAATTATAGCATTAAAACAAAATGACCGTGTGTCTCAGAGCAGCCAGTGCACAACAGTGAGGACTTCCGAGCAACTCCCCTGCCTGGATGAGTGCTCCTCTCTGGCTCCTCTGCTGTCTGTCAGGGGTCTCCCACAGCCCCTGCTATTGTATGAATGTTTCGCTACTGGCCCAGGCACATTATGGCAACAGTAACATACTCTATCTTGGTTAGAACCTAGAAAATGTGGAGAGCAGACATGAGAGGAAGCTGGATCCTTTAGTATCTCTTCCTGAGGGCGAGGGGTGCAGCTCAGAGATAACTGCTTGCCTGCCTGTTACAGCCATGGGTTTCCTTCCTAGCCTGGGGGGAAGGGGGGATTCCTCCCCGGGGCAGCAGGGGAAAGGAACTGGCCTTTCAGTTAGTGCCTGCCTTTCTCTCTTTGCTGAGTTCATCTGTTTCTAGAGCCATCTCGCTATCTGCTGCCACCCCTCCAAAATTATAAGAAGGAAAACTTCAGATTTGACGTGAGATTCATAATTAGCTGAGTGTGACTAGCTCGTGTTTCCTAAAACTGGCAGGGCTATTCAGCCCTTCTTAAACAGTCTTCAGCAAACAGTGACAGGATCAACGCCCGTTTGTTATCAGGATAGAGGTGACCTTTACAAAGTGATGGCCCTCTCCAAGCCTCTCATACATGTTTAAAAAAAAAAGTGGGGGGAGTGCTTTTCTGTGGAAATATTTCTTGATCGTTTCTCCCGTTAGCATCAGCCCGGTGGCTTCAATGCTAATTCCTAACTGTGCTTAGTCCTGTATGGCTAACCTTTCCGCTGCAGGCCAGGGTGTTGACACTGACATGCTGCAGTTTACCGTTTGTGATTTATTTAGGATAAATATGTCTCGGGTGGCATTTAATCCTTCATAAAACCAGTGTAGCCTGCAGTGTCAAACCAGCAATCACGTTGTATGCACAATAAAAGAGCAGGCCTTTGCATAAAAAAATATTGTCTAGAAGGTGTTTCTAGGCACAGAAGGATTGTGAAGGCTGCACCAAGCTTTGTGTCCTGTAAGTACCTATAGAGCTAGGTTAATGTTACCTCTCTTTTCTCTCTCATTACACAACTGTTGGAATGTAAGGGAGTTTAAGAAGCACATACACAAATGTGTACCTCGGAATAATGAGGCATGGCAGAGCTTGCGAGCAGGGGACATTTATTGCAGTATGGACTGTCTACAAAGACAGTGCAGTAAACTTACAGCTTTCCTTGAAGTTTTTGCTAGAGAATGCAGCAGAACTTTAAAGAAGTAAAAAGCAAAGCTGATGAAGTATTTACTTGGAGATTATAATCCAAAAAGATCACATTTATATTAAGCTATGGCCAATTAACTCTTCAAGCCCCAAAAACATCCAGCATCGAAGGAAGAAAGATTTTTCAAGTCAGCATATAGAAGTAGTTTGCATTTCAATGTCCATGGTTGAAAATGGAGTAATTTTTGCTGTTGGTGATGGGCAGAGTGAGATAGCCATTTCTGGCTGAAGCAAATACTAGCAAGGTAAAGTCGCTTTGGTGCAGTGCTGTAACTCAAACAGGCGTCTGTCAGGAAGCCCCAGCTGCCCTGGGGAGTTGCCGTGGAGGGAGAAAGGTACTTACGGACATTTCCCACCACAAACCAAACAAACCATCACCCAGTAAGTACAGAGAGTACTTCTTTTGTTTCTTGATGTGCTTCGAAGAACCATGTAAAAGTGCTGATTGTATACAGGTGGCACTGGAACTCCAATTCAGCAGCCCAGTCCAGAAACGTGAGTTTACAGAGTGTCAAAAGACAGCCAGACCTGGACAGTACTTACAGCAGAAAAAGAAAATTTTATTCAGGACAATAGGAGAAAAAAAGCTTCAGAATAGACACAGGCTCAATTCTGAAGATAGAAAAAGTGGGCATTTACAGCCAAGGAGGAAGCTGAGATGGGCACTGCTAGATGGAAGACAGAAATACTAAGAAACATCAGGGCTGTTTCTGCCAACCCGACCTAACAGGACTCTTGCTGAAGGCAGGTGAGGGTGGTCAAACATCTGGAATGATGGAGGAGGATGTGGAACCTAATTATATTCCCAAGGTGATCAGATACCAACCTGACTTGGCTCGAAGGAGATTTATAAGGAAGTACCCAAAAGAGTCTAGAAGAGATGGTACACACTAAAGTGTAGTCATACAAAGAAACTTTGCAGTCCTAGAAGGTGGAGCCACAGCGGATCTTTGCTCCATCACCTGCTAGAACACAGCCAAGACTCCCGAGGCCCAAGCAGCTCTAGTCCACCACTCTTGCTTTGAGGAGCAAGAGCCCCACTTCCAATAAGCACAGCTTCCAGGAGATTCTAGGATTCTAGAATCTAGATTCACACAACGGCACCAACAGCATCTCTGCTTCCCAGTCCCCTCACACTTCCGTTTTCCTGAGCCCAGAAATGAGGTAATGGCTTACGCAGAAAATTGGAGAGCCAGCTTAGAATTCTAACCTGAAGTTGGTTCCAGGAAGAGAACTAGGGAACAAGAAAAGCCATTCATTTAGCAAACTGAGAAAAGAGCCATAAGTTGTCAATTTTTTACTATTTGATATTAGCCCATAATTTAAGCGTGCACACAACTCACTTAAGCAGCCTCCTCCTGTTCCATTGGTTGGAGAATACAATTCGTTTTCTCCTCCTCTAGGGTGATATCATTTTACATGAAGAAAAAAGTTAGCTCTGGTGGCAGTTATACGTTTCGGAAGCACCTTCTAATCAGGGATTGGTGATTCATTATTAGCTTCAGCGGGCGATCCATCTGACATGTAAGGGGAAAAAATTAGCAGCTGTCACGGCATGATGAGTTAATTTCCTGATGGGCCTGACACTGAAAAGCCATTTGGAGACATGGCGGTGGCTGACAAGAAAACCTGGCGCTGCTTTATAATTGGAGATAAAGAAAGGGCAGAAAACCAGGCTGTGGGAGGGCCGGTGGCTCTGCAAGTTGCAGGGGCTGTTTGTGTCTGTCCCAGGTTTCGGAATGAGGCCATACCACCTGTGCATGTTGGCCGTGGTAGCGTGGCCAGCCCGCCTCACTGCTGTGCCCCAGGACAGTGGAGGGAGGGACAACGGCTCCCTCTGCTTCTTCCCCATGGGATCCAAGAGTGACATGGTGCCTGTTATCCTCACAGAAGAGGTAGAGTGTGAGGTTCTCCTGTGGATCGTCCCTGGGGCAGTTTTCACAATTGGAGCTCAGGATTTCAGTTGTGAAATAAATCTTCATCCCCCATGAAAAATAACCACATGAAATAAATATGAAAACTCAGAGTGGGGAGGAGAAAGTGCTAAGCACTGAAAATGGGCAGGAAAGGCAACATAGACATGAGCCCCACCATGACCTGCCCTTCACCAGGTGTCCATTCCCAGCCCAAATCCTAAAGATGAAAATTAGACCAGAATATAAAACTGACTGTAAGTACTGCCGGGCTGGCCTTGCATGGTGTCCACTGGCAAGCGGCTATTTAGCCACGAGTTACTCAGAGGATTCTAGAATCAGGAGCAGGACCTGGCCTTGAACCTCCCAGCGGTTACAATTTGTAAAAGCAAAGCAGCCCTGTCCGTTGCTCCCCGGGGACAGATCACTTCACTGCTATTGTCTTTCCTGGGCTCTGGGTCTATGAAATCCAGGAAATGGAAGCCTCTTCCTCCCAAAGTTCCTTGAGCCCCAACCCAGGGAAAATTCTGGTTTCTCTCCCCTGGCTGGAAGCAAGGTATAAGAAAGAGACAGAGGCAGAATGACATGTGCCAGCACGTGGTCACAAGGGCATTACCAGAATTAGGTAAATCCACCCTAAATCACTCAGGCAAAGGACTTTCTCTAAGGCCTTGCATTTGCAATACCTTTTAATAAATTCTTTTAAAATGACCTGATTTCAACATGGCTTTCAGCATCATAAAAAGACAATTTATAACCTGGATAAACAAATATATGGACCAGTCCTCTGTCAGTGCCATTCTCAGTGCACTCCAGTTTCTCATGTTACTCTTCAAATAATTCTTTCAGTAAAGGAATAAAATCCAACATGAACTAAAGGCTTGATTTTTAATTTTCAAACTAGGCTCTAGGTTGAGATGAGGAGTATTTGAAGGCTTCTTTGGGGCCCTCGTGCCACAACCAGCAGCTTCACAGAGCAGGCAGGGCACCCTCACATCTAAGGTGTGGGCTCCCAGAGCAGGTGACTTTGGCTCAGGCCACTGCTGCTCCCTGCAGCCCTTCTGAGTGGCCCCATGATCCAGGAGGAAACTCCACCCCTGACTCAGAACTCTGACCTTCCTTCCTGTGCTCCTGCTGCTTTGGAAGATACATGAATGTCAGAGTCACAAGTTTGTGGCCCTTTCGAAACAAACTCATAGCTAAGCACAGGGTTGATTTTTCAGAGATGCTGGAGGATTCCAGTGCTGGGGAGACATTTGTGAGATCCAGTAGACAGAGTATGAGTTCCAGCAGATAGGCCTGCAGGTACCCTCCCTTGGAAACCATTTCTAAGCCACCAGAGCCAAGGGTCCTCACCAGGCTATGTCCCTTCCCCACCCTTGCATCGCACAGAGCCCAGCGAGCTCAGATCCTTGCAGGCAGAGCCCTGCACTTTTGCCTTTGCATTTTGGCCTCCACCCCCACTTGGCACTATGCTCTGTCTCAAGGGAATGCTGAGTACACTGTGTCAGCTTCCCATCGCCATAGCAAAAGACCCGAGGATAACAATGGAAGTGAGGAAAGGTTTACTTTGGCCCACAGTTTTTAGAGATTCAGTCAGGGGCAGCTAGTTCTTTTGTCTTCAGTCTACTGTGTGGTAGGAAACTATGCAGAAGGGCATGGCAGAACACATTTGCTCACCTCATGGCAGCCAGAAAGGTCGGGAGAGAAGAATGGGCAAGGGGTACAGCACACCCTTCAGAAACATGGCCCAAGTGAACTATGTTTCCAACAAGGCCCCACCTCCTGAAGTCTGCACCATCTCCCAGTATCCCAGTAAATTACGGACCTATCACTGGATCACTCCATTCATGAGGTTGAGGCCCTGAAACCTATCACTTCCCAGAACTATTCCTACTGCATTAGGAGCCAAGCATTCCACGCCAGCATTGCCCGCTGGGGGGACGTGCAGACCGCAGTGCTAACATACGTACATCCTCGACTCCTCATCTGTTGTTCGTAGTTTACTTATTTGTCTTTCTGTTTTTTCAGCTCCGACTCTGTCAGGTCAGACTTTGGCAGGAATTGAATCAAATGAATACATCATGAGCATTCAGTCCATTGGTCAAACTGGTTCAGTCATGTTCCAGAACCATCCTTGATGAAGAAAATTTTGAGACCAAACCTCATGACAAACACCACATCCAGTTCACAGGTAGCCTGTCAAACCCAGAGAGGCACATAGAGCTTCTTAATAGCAATTGCAGATAGAAGAGGATTTTCTCCACATTTATAATTATCATAATCTTGAGGGAAGCACCAAAGTTCGTGCCTGTGGCGCTGGCTAAATATGTTCTGTTCCTATTAAAATTTTTATTTGTTTATGTCCTGATTTCTTTCTAGCCCTGAGGTTTTGGGCCAATGCTATTTATTCCACACACTATTACCACCTTGACATGCTGCAAGAATAAACCTGGTATTTTGGGTAGTCTTGAATAATTGTGATTTGCTGTTCTGGTTAAAGATCTTTGACCCTGGGCAGGAAATGACAAAAGAGAACCAAGTGATCCAGGAATGCCAAGTGCCACTGGGCTGAAAGTCTTGCTCAAATGCCCAGTGGCATCTCTCAACTATCCTATGGTGGAACCGCTCTATCAGAGACTAGCAAGAAGCTTGAAAGGGGAGAGTGAAGCAGCCCATGTGATTCAAATGCACCTTTCACATCCATACACCTCTGAACTGGGAAAGCATCAGCAGCACCTAGGGTCTAATGAGCATCATATGTCTTTTGAAGCAAGTCTTAGGGGAAGAAGTAGCAGAGGAATTCCCTAGAAAGGATAAATATTTTGCTTCAGAAAGGCACCGGCACCCCAGAGACAAGCCACAGAGGCCATGCATGGAGTGGAGCTTCCAGTCACTTCCCAAGTCTGAGGAGGGAGATCACAGTGCATCTGGCCCCAGTGCATCTGTGGTGGGGCAGGACATGGGCTTTCTCACTGAACAAGAGAAATAGGACTGTGAACCTATTAAAGTTAAAAGCACAGTCCCAAATGGACAGGTTTGCTTTTGGAGAGAAGATGCTTGCTCTGCAGGTCTGAAAGGTTCATGCAGAGGGGAGGGTAGGATTGAAAAGTATGGCCTTGCCAGGTACCAGCCTGGCCTGCCTGGCCTCTGAGGCCCTTCAGGAGCATGCATTCAGCAGCACTACACAGCAGAGATGCTGGTGTGATCCCACCTGAGGACCATGACTTGAGCTTGGGCCTTAGTGTCAGTGACTGTTAGATAATTTCAAATGAATCCGTGCTCAGTCAGATGAGCCTTTTATGTACCACAAGACTCAACCAGTCTCAGAATCGAAGTGAGGAGTAGCTGGGCCCTGAAGCTGAGACCAGCTCCAAAGCCCTGGAATGGAGGGCACAAATCTAGACAAGGGTTTGCAAATTATCCAAGAACAGCACAAAGAAGATAACATTGTCTGCACTTGGCACTGCCATCCCAAAAGAAATCCCCAAACTAGTCAGAATTAAAGGAAGAGGCTTCTAAGAGGTGCACAGTGAATCGTGGCTACACTGCAGAGGAAAGTCTCCCAGAGCACAGGTTGGACTGCAGCTCTGTGAAGGTGTCCATGATGGTGGAGCCAAATAATGCCAGGCCTGCCCAGGAAGCATGAGAGGACGGAGGAAGGAGGAGGCAGATGTTTGAGCCTGAGCCGGCGTCCCAGGAAGTAGCACAGCCTCTTGCTCTGCTGACCTTGTCACTGCACTGCCTTCAGTCACAAATCCTGCCTTATTCCAGTGTGGGCTGATGAGCTGCCAGTTGTTCCATCTGGCCCATGGCCTGTGCACTGAAAGGGCAAGGGTCCAGCAGCCTGGGTGGAGGCAGCTCCCTCAGGAGAAGAGCAGCAGCTGGGTTTTTGGCATGTGCAAGTCCGGGTGGCCCTGCGGGAGTAGGAGAGAATGGCCAGGTGTCCAGTCTGGGCCTGGGACATACAGAATACAGTGGAGGAGCTAAAACACGCAGCCCAGTTAAGGGGCACTGCTCTGTGCCCAGTCCAGGACATGGCTGGAGTGGCCCCAGATTCAGCCACACACATCTAGTGTCCAGCAACACATCCTCCTGTCTTTATCCACTGGAAACACAAGCAGCTTCCAGGAAGGGAGAAAATTCAGCCCTGAATAGTAAGATTGCCAATATCAGAGCTCAGAGGCAGGTTGGCCCTACCCCATTCAGCCTGCATCCCAGGAAAATAAGTTTCCTGACTGAGGAACCTCACACCCTAGGATAGGGTAACACTAGCCACGTTTCAGACTCAGAGAGGTTTAAGGGATTAATGGAACACATCACAGTGAGGCCAGACCAGCTCAAGCCCAGGCTTTGCTTCACCCCCAGCAGGCCATCTACACAGCACGAGGAAGCCAGCCTTGTCTCTGCTCACTGCCTGCCAGAACAGCTTTCTGAGGTCAGTACCAAAGGTGTGTGCCCATTTCCCAGAGAAGGATCCTCAGCCAGGCCCCACACACAGGTCCATAGTACTGTGCCTTTCTGTGCAAAGACCCTCCTGGACGAATCAGGAGACCGACTCATCTACATCAGCCTTTGGACAAGCGGACCGTATGCTTCCTGCCTCTGCTTTCTCCTCCATCTGTGGTGTGTACAGGAATAGCACCTGATCCTCCAGCAGTGGTGTCCACACATGGTGGCCTTACTCTGGGAGTCAGCCACCTGAGGGACAGATTCCATGCCTGCTACAGGTTCGGACAATGTGTTCACTGATGTGTGTTTCTTTCCATTGCGCTGAGTGCCCTGCTGTTTCCGGGACTCTCCATGGACCTTCTGCAGTAGGATGGGGAGGAGCAGGCTAATGTTGTGGACATGCAGGACTCACACTCTCCCTGTCCGGGACTGGAAATGGGGAGGCAGCCGGTCCTGGGCGGGGCAGGGCAGGTCCGGGGCTGAGAGGCCCATCTTTCCTTCTGACCGCCCTGCTGAATGCTGCTGTCTGTCCAGCTGTTCTCTGCAGCTCCCTTTCTATTTCCTCTCCTGGGGCTGTTTGCTCCCACCTATGTTATTGGGGGGGTGGGAGGGGGGAGTGCCCGTGGAACAGTGAGCTCCCTGATGGCTGCGCTCAGCCATCACTAAGGAGATGGGGATTCATTTTCAGGCCCCACCCCTCTGTCTCTGACAGAGGAACAAAGTTCTCCAGGGCCTCAAGCTCTGGTTAGAGGACTTCTCTAGGAAGATGACTTGGTTGCCAGGGCAGTCTGAAGCCCAAGGGAAGGGAAGTGATCTGGGGTCTGAATTTGGCAGCTGCCTGCCCTCTCCTGCCCCTGTGCTGGCTCTGCCTTTGGCGTTCCTGCTTCCACATGATGCAGGAAGCTGGCAACTGCTGCTCCTGCAGTAGGCAAGGCCAAAACAAAGCCAGAGCCAAACTGGAAGTTGCAGAGCTCAGTGGCCTGGAAAATTCTACAGGCCCAAGACTCCCCAATGTGGGCAGTGAGACAGCTCCAAGATGTGGTCAGAGGGCTGTGTGGTCTCCTCGTTTCTCAGGCTCTGATAGTCACTCCCCTTGGAAAAACACAACTACATGTGGCAGCAGCCCACGTGTGATCACAAACACAGAAACAGAACTGCTCAACAGAGATAGAATCAGCCACTATTTTAATGCTTGGGTAAGCCAAAAAGCTCTACAATTAGTAGATGTGAAGGCAAACTCTCTTTTCAAAAAATGGGGGAGAATCCCTACTAGAAAGCACCTCCTTGGATCATTGGCATATCTTGCTTTCTGTCAGGCTGGGTGCAGTGATGATTTTGAGCTCACACCTGAGGGGAACATGGTGTGCAGCTCAGCTACGGCCACTGTGTGCTCAGCCTGGCCTTGGCCTATAGCTTAGAGTCCAGAGGACTGGCCTAGGAAAATCCCACCATGATTTGCAAGTCTGCCCAGGCAGGCCAGCAAGCTGTACCGTGGAGCAGCAGCCAGAAGGCCAGTTACTCTCCGCCCTCAGTGAGTCTGTCACTAAAGTGGCACCAAAGTGACATACACTGCTTGATACACTGACCTGGGAAGGAGGCTATCATTCTTCCATGGAATCTATTCTGGTTTTCTCTTAATAAAAATACTTTTTTTCTTTTACTTCTAATAAAAGTACATGTAATTAGAAGTCCTAGTGTTTTGTTTCTGTACCCAGCGGTCACCTGCCCCCTACTCTGCTGACTGACCCATCCTGATCTCCAGGGCCTCTCTTTCTCTCCCTGATCTTGTTGCTCCTAGATTTTCAGAAGTTTCTCAGGGAGAAGCTGAGTCAGCTTTGCTCAAGCCAGGCAGCTGATACCTCTGTGATTTGGAGGAGCTTCCTCAGTTTCGACTCTCAGGCAGTTGGTGTGACCCAAGTGAGAGACGTCCCATAGCAAGACAAGGCCTGAGGACACGGACACCTGGATTCCCTGACTCCATACGTCTGCAGCGCTCCTTCTGGACTCACTTGCATCCCACTGACACCACCTCAGTGGACCATAAGGCGATGAGCTTGTACTTGAGCCTGTCTCATACCCCAAACCCACCACAGACACAGACACAGGCATCACTGGGGCAAACATACACAAAGAGCCTAAGAGCAGACATAAGAGCAGAAATAAAACTAGGGGAGCCAGACATGGAGGTGCACACCTGCACGCTCAGTCATGCAGGAGCCAGACATGGAGGTGCACGCCTGCACGCTCAGTCATGCAGGAGCCAGACATGGAGGTGCACGCCTGCACGCTCAGTCATGCAGGAGCCAGACATGGAGGTGCACGCCTGCAAGCTCAGTCATGCAGGAGCCTGACATGGAGGTGCACGCCTGCAAGCTCAGTCATGCAGGAGCCTGACATGGAGGTGCACGCCTGCAAGCTCAGTCATGCAGGAGCCAGACATGGAGGTGCACGCCTGCACGCTCAGTCATGCAGGAGCCAGACATGGAGGTGCACGCCTGCACGCTCAGTCATGCAGGAGCCAGACATGGAGGTGCACACCTGCACGCTCAGTCATGCAGGAGCCAGACATGGAGGTGCACGCCTGCACGCTCAGTCATGCAGGAGCCAGACATGGAGGTGCACGCCTGCAAGCTCAGTCATGCAGGAGCCTGACATGGAGGTGCACGCCTGCAAGCTCAGTCATGCAGGAGCCTGACATGGAGGTGCACGCCTGCAAGCTCAGTCATGCAGGAGCCAGACATGGAGGTGCACGCCTGCACGCTCAGTCATGCAGGAGCCAGACATGGAGGTGCACGCCTGCACGCTCAGTCATGCAGGAGCCAGACATGGAGGTGCACGCCTGCACGCTCAGTCATGCAGGAGCCAGACATGGAGGTGCACGCCTGCACGCTCAGTCATGCAGGAGCCAGACATGGAGGTGCACGCCTGCAAGCTCAGTCATGCAGGAGCCTGACATGGAGGTGCACGCCTGCAAGCTCAGTCATGCAGGAGCCTGACATGGAGGTG